ATCATTCCCCGAATGTCTTCAATTCCGGTACAGATTCTTGAGACCAATTCAGAGGGAATGCCAAGTCTTATACTGAGTAAAGAGCGGATGCTTTTGTTGACACAAAAGTTACCAAACATTGAGTGTCTGGCTATCAGTTACTTAGACACCGATTATGAGACACTTTATGGTATTCTTAATGCAATGAAATCATTGAAAATGCTATACATTTGCGGTGTATTTACAGCACAAGAAGCCAGAGATTTAGGACACTTATTGTCGGGAATGATCACAAAACTTTGCATTAATTGCAATTCACTTAACTTTACTTTTGTGAGTGAATTGATCCGAGAATTACCCGCTTTAACACATCTAACCATTTCATTGAGAGGCAGTAATACTATCGCTGAGATATTCAATAGTTTACCAAAAACTATCAAATCAATGGATATCTGTTATTTAGATGCAATTAATGAAGAATTGGCGCAAATAATGATTGAAAGTAATGCCAAACAATTGGATTCATTGGATATATGGGTATCAAATAGCGAAGCATTGGAATTAATCATTAATGGTATGGCATTAAAGTCACTCTCATATGATTTTACTAATGGATTCAATGAATGGCATTGTTTGCAAAGAGTGGCCCAAAAACAGACAAATCTCGTATATCTGGGTCTCGAGTCTCAGAATTTTCGCGATTATGAATACACAGAAAATGTGATCCAATTTTCAAAAGTGAAAACACTTTCACTCTTTAATTGTCGTCCAAAAGAGGAAGTGTTTGAAACACTTATGAAATCCTTTCCAGCGCTGAAGACACTTGTTTTAAACAACACTCGCATTGAATGCGGGTTTAAAATAGACAATTGTTTGACACATTTTGGCCAAATGTTTCATTTGATTGCAAAACACACGACAATCAAAACACTGGGACTTTATTATTATAATTTGAGTGAAATGACAGCCGTTTTGTGTAAACAATTCAATGAATTTCACAATTTATCGGCCATTCATTTGATCCGTCAGTTAAGCTATATATTTACTTCCGAAGAGTACACAAATCTAAGCAAACAATTGATCACTGATTGCATCGATTGGTATTCAATAGACCCGAAGAAATGGTTCACAATCTGTGTTCACAACAATACCGGAGATCTCACTATTGAGAGACAAATACCCAGGAATTTGAGAATTAGAAGGAATTTGTATTAAATACAGAGTTTTGACAATTATTGGTAAAACAAATAAAATTATTCTTAATTCAGATAAAAATAATTTTACAATAAATCTGTTTTGCAATTGAATTCAATTGTCATTATTAAAGAGAATTTAAATACTTATTTTAAAATTTGTTTAAATAATATGTAAATTAAAATACAAAAATTTAAATTGCATAATAGCTTGCTCATTCATAAAACTTTTAATTTTTAAAAATGATATCTGGTTCAATATTGTTTAAAAATTTGATTGATTAAAATTTACCATTTTATAATTTTTAAAATTTATTTTCTGAATAAAGGAATGTATGTTCAAAATGAGTGCCGAAACCGACGGCAAAAGTACTAAACATATGAAGACATTTGTCTTGAACCACGATTTGGTGCTTCAGATCCTCTCATACCTCGAGGTCTATGAGTTGATACGTTTAGAAAGAGTCTCAAATCAGTTCCAGTTTTGCGCCTACTATTGGTTCCGCAAACAGAAGACGATTTCAATCAACAGTTGCTTTGAAACCAATGGATATCTACCAAAAGATTATATAATTCCCCGAATGTCTGCATTTCCGGCACATATTCTTCAGACCAATTCAGAGGGAAAGCCAAGTCTTATACGGAGTAAAGTGCGGATACTTTCGTTAACACAAAAGTTACCAAATATTCAGTATTTATCGATTAGTAATTTAGACACCAATTATGAGACACTTTATGGTATTCTGGATGCAATGAAATCATTGAAAATGCTATACATTAGCCGTTGCGGTGTATTTACAGCATATGAAACCAGAGATTTAGGGCAATTATTGTCGAGAAATATCACAAAACTTTGCATTAATTCCAATTCATTTGACTTTATTTATGCGAGTGAATTGATCCGAGAATTACCCGCTTTAACACATTTAAAGATTTCATTGACTGGTAATAATACTATCGCTGAGATATTCAATAGTTTACCACAAACTATCAAATCACTGGATATCTGCTGTTCAAATGCAATTAATGAAGGATTGGCGCAAACAATGATTGAAAGTAATGCCAAACAATTGGATTCACTCGATATATGGTTATCAAATAGCGAAGCATTGGAATCAATCATCAATGGTATGGCATTAAAGTCACTTTCATATGATTTTATTAATCGGATTACCGATGGATTGAATGAATGGCATTGTTTGCAAAGAGTGGCACAAAAGCAGACAAATCTCGTATATCTCGGTCTCAAGTCTCAAAATTTTCGCGATTATGAATACACCGAGACTTTGATGCGATTCTCAAAAGTCAAAACATTATATCTTTTAGAGTGTAATCCAAACGTAAAAGCGTTTGAGACAATCATGAAATGCTTTCCAGTGCTTAAAACTCTGGTTGTAAACAATACATCTCTTGATTGTGATCTTAAAAAAGACAATTGTTTGACATGTTTAAGACAAATGTTTTATTTGATCGCAAAACACACGACAATCAAAACACTCGGCATTTATTATTATAATTTGAGTGCAATGACAGCCGTTTTGTGCAAACAATTCAATGAATTTCACAATTTGTCGGCCATTCATTTGATCCATCAGTTATACTGGACTTCCGAAGAGTACACAAATCTAAGCAAACAATTCATCACTGATTTCATCGATTGGTATTCAATAGACGCGAAGAAATGGTTCACAATCTGTGTTCACAACAATACCGGAGATCTCACTATTCAGAGACAAATACCCAGGAATTTGAGAATCAAAAGGAATTTGTATTAAAGCCAGAGTTTAGACAATTATTGTTAAAACAAATAAACTTATTCTCAATTCAGATAAAAGTTAAATCTGTTTTGCAATTGAATTCAATTGTTATTATTAATGAAAATTTAATTACTTATTTGAAAATTTGTTTAAATAATATGTAAATTAAAATACAAAAATGTAATCAAATATCTACATTGCATAATAACTTGCCCAAGTATAAAAGTTTTTAACTTGTATAGCTGATTTCTGATTGAATATTGTTTAAAATTTTGATTGATTAAAATTTACCATTTTTATTTTATAATTTTTAAAATTTATTTTCCAAAAAAGTAATGTTTATTCAAAAATGAGTGCCGAAACGGATGGCAAAAGTACTAAACATCTGAAGACAATTGTCTTGAATCACGATATAGTGATTGAGATCTTCTCATACCTCGAGATCCATGAGTTGTTACCTCTGGAGAGAGTCTCAAATCAGTTCCAGTTTTGCGCCAACTATTGGTTCCGCAAACAGAAGAGCATTGCAGTCAATGAGTGCAGTCGTACCGCTTATTATGTACCAAATAATGTGGGAATTCCTCGTTTATCCTCATTTCCGGCACAATATCTTGAGACCAAATCATACCAAATACAGAGTCTTACCCACAATAAAGAGCGGATCCTTTTGTTGTTACAAAAGTTACCAAACATTAAGTGTTTGGCTATGGCTTACTTTGTCATCGATTATCAGACACTCTATGATATACTGAGGGCTATAAAATCGTTGGAAATGCTATTTATTTGCGGTTTAAATCACTTTACAGTCCGAGAAACCAGAGAATTGGGACAACTATTGTCAACAAAGGTCACTAAATTTGGCATCAATTTTGATAACAATTACTTCACACATGTGATTGATTTGGTCCGAGAGTTATCCGCTTTAAATACTTTGTGTATTTCATGGATGGGTGAGAACACTATATCAGAGTTGTTTACCAGTTTAGGAGAAGGCATTAAATCATTACACTTTTCCCATTCAAATCACATAACCATCGATGAAGGAGTGGCGCAAACAATGATTGAAAGTAATGCCAAACAATTGCATTCGCTTTATAACTATCGGCAAACATCTCAAGCGCTGGAAGTGATTATCAATGGTATGGCATTGAAAGCATTGTCTTATGGTTTAGGTATTCGACCGAATGAATGGCATTGTTTGCAAAGAGTTGCCCAAAAACAGACACAACTCGTATATCTGAGTCTCGATTATCAACATTTTGGTGATTATTATTACTCAGAAAATTTGAATCAATTTTATTCAGTGAAAACACTTTCTCTTTATTGGTGTCGTTCGAAAGAAGAAGTATTTGAGACAATCATGAAATGCTTTCCAGTGCTTAAGACACTGCTATTGAGAGATACATCAATTGATTGTGAAATATGCAATGATTTCAATTGTGTGGCATCTTTTCGACGAATGTATGATTTGATCGCAAAATATACGGCAATCAAAACACTTGGACTTCAATTTCGAGATTTGAATGAAAGGACAGCCATTGTATGCAAGAAACTCAATGAGTTTTATAATTTATCGGCCATTCATTTGATAGATTATTACAGAGATAGTTATCAGTATTATATAGATATATGTCAACAATTGATCACTGATTTCATGGATTGGTATTCACTTCACCCCAAGAAATGGTTTACAATCTGTGTTCACAACAATACCGGAGATCTCACTATTGAGCGACAAATACCCAGGAATTTGAGAATTAGAAAAAATTTGTATTAAAACCAGTGGTTAATTGTATTGCAGATCAAAGAATTTGTTAAAAATATATTTACTCATAAAATTTATGTCAGATTAAATGTTTCCGTGAATTTATATTTATTATTAGATAAATAATTGAATATATTGTATTTACTATTTTACATGAGCTAAAATAGTTAGTAAATTTTATTATTCTAAAAATATATAGTAAATCATTTATACAAATGACATCATCTCTACAATTAGATTGACTTTAAATGTGATTTAGACATTGAGTTCATTTATTTAAGTTATTATTTTATGTAAATTAAAATAATGATTGTATTGTTGTTTATTTTAAAAAGAGTTACTTAAAAAAATTATGCTTAAAATATTTATAGATCTCGTTTAAAATGAGTGCCGAAACCGACGGCAAAAGTGGCAAACATCTGAAGACAGTTGTCTTAAATCACGATTTGGTTCTTCAAATCTTCTCATACCTCGAGATCCATGAGTTGTTACCTCTGGAGAGAGTCTCAAATCAGTTCCAGTTTTGCGCCGACTATTGGTTCCGCAAACAGAAGACAATATCAATCAATAGATGCGAAGAAAGCAATAGTTATCTACCAAAAGATTATATCATTCCTCAAATGACTGATTTTCCGGCACATATTCTTAAGACAAATTCAAAACGACTGCCGAGTCTTATGGCGAGTAAAGAGCGGATCCTTTTGTTGTTACAAAAGTTGCCAAACATTGAGTGCCTATCGATCAGTCACTGCGACACCGATTTCCAGACACTCTATGATATTCTCAAAGGTATGAAATCATTGAAAATGCTATTCATTTGCATTTCCAGATACTTCTCAGACCAAGAGTGCAAAGCATTGGGACAACTATTGTCGACAAATATCATCAAATTTGGTATTAATCCACACTTCAATCGCAATCTAAACGCAATTGAATTGGTCACAGAGTTAACCGCATTAAACCAACTCATCATAACTCCTACCAATAGAAACAATGTGTGGGAATTATGGCTGAGATTACCACAAAGTATTAGATCACTACAACTCAACAATTACTGTTTAATCGATGAACAATTGATGCAAACAATGCTTGAGATTAATGCTAAACAATTGGATTCGCTTCATATTAATGGCTTACTTATGGCCCAAACACTCGAATGGATTATCAATGGTCTGACTTTGAAAGCATTTTCATATGAACTACGATTTGAATTGAATGAATGGCAGTGTTTGCAAAGAGTGGCACAAATGCAGACACAACTCGTATACCTGGGTCTCAAGCGTCAGTATTTTCGCAATTATGAATACACCGAGAATTCGCAGCAATTTTTATCAGTCAAAACACTTTCTCTCCATTCATGTCGTACTTCGGAACCGGCGTTTGAATTGCTTATGAAATGCTTTCCAGTGCTTAAGACTTTGGTCTTAGAGTCGACATCAATCAAATGCAATGCAAACCAAACGTCCTTTTGTTTGACATGTTTTGGCCAAATGTTTCATTTGATCGCAAAACACACGACAATCAAAACGCTGGGCCTTTCTTCCGATGATTTGATTGAAAACACTGCCGTTTTGTGCAAACAATTCAATGATTTTCACAATTTATCGGCCATTCATTTGAATTCATCGTTAGGAAGAAATAAGGAATATTATGCAGAGATTTGCCGACAATTTATCACTGATTTTGTCAATTGGTATGAAATACAGCCAAACAAGTTGTTCACAATCTGTGTTCACAACAATACCGGAGATTTTACTATTGATCGACAAATACCCAGAAATTTAAGAATCAGAAGAGATTTATATTAAAAGCATTTTATAAATAAATTGCAAAATAATTATAGTATTTATTTTGTTTAAATTACTTTTGACAAATTCTGATTAATATATAAAAGCAATTCATTCAATATTTGTAGCATAATTTATTTTTGCTTGTATTAAAGTTTTGAAAATATTGTTGAAAATTTCAATTAAAAAATTACACATAATCTTAAAAATTGTAAAATAAATTTTGTTTAAAATGAGTGCCGAAACCGACGGTAAAAGTGCTAAACATCTGAAGACAATTGTCTTAAATCACGATTTAGTGATTGAAATCTTCTCATACCTCGAGATCCATGAGTTGATACGTCTGGAGAGAGTGTCACAACAGTTCCAGTTTTGTGCCAACTATTGGTTCCGCAAACAGAAGACAATATTAATCAACAATTGCTTTGAAACGAATAGATATCTACCAAAAGATGATATCATTCCCCGAATGTCTGCATTTCCGGCACATATTTTTCAGACCAATTCAGGAGATCTAAGTCTTATACGGAGTAAAGAGCAGATCCTTTGGTTAACCCAAAAGTTACCAAACATTGAGTGTCTGGCTATCAGTCGGTTCCACACAGATATGCAGACATTATATGATATTCTCAATGCCATGAAATCGTTGAAAATGCTATACATTTGCACATCTAATCTATTCACTGATCGAGAATCCCGACGATTGGGACTATTATTATCGCAGAATATTATAAGAATTGGTATAAATCCACATTTCGATGGCAATATAAATGCGGTTGAATTGCTCCCAGAATTAACCGGATTAACAAATCTAATCATATTATCGACCGATAGAAACAATGTCCGTCACATATGCGAGAGTTTACCACAAAGTATTAGATCATTACAACTGAGATATATGTATACAATTGATGATCAAATGGCACAAACAATGCTTGAGACCAATGCTAAGCATTTGGATTCGCTTTATATTTATAGCCAGAGTTTAAGTGACGGAGCGCTGGATCTGTTCATCAATGGTACGATTTTAAAAGCATTTTCCTATAAATTGTCTCGATATTCAAATGCTTGGCATTGTTTGCAAAGAGTGGCCCAAAAGCAGACACAACTCGTATATCTGGGACTCGATTCCCATTACTTTTGCGATTATGAATACACCTATAATTTGGTCCGATTTTGTTCAGTCAAAACACTTTCTCTGTCGACATGTATTGCTTCGGAACAGGCGTTTGAATCGCTTATGAAATGCTTTCCAGCGCTTAAAACTCTGGTTTTATACAATGTATTAATCAAATGCAATGCAATCCATCCGTACAGTTGTGTGACTTGTTTTCGACAAATGTTTCATTTGATTGCAAAACACACGACAATCAAAACACTCGGTCTTTATTGTTATTATTTGCTCAGAAAGACAGGCGTTTTGTGTCAAACACTCAATGAGTTTCACAATTTATCGGCCATTCATTTGGAAACAATGGATTCATTATTTTATTTTATTGTTTGTCAAGAATTGATCACTAATTTCATCGATTGGTATGAAATACCGGCGAAAAAGTGGTTCACAATCTGTATTCTCAAGTATATGAGAAATATCAGTATTAATCGACAAATACCAAGAAATTTAAGAATCAAAAAGAATTTGTAATAAATACAGTGTTTAAAGAATCTGAATATAAAGTAAAACATTTTTAAAATTTAGAAATTTTTCTTAAATGTTAGTATTGTTTAAAATCTGTAAAAATATTTGAGAGTTTATTCAAAATGAGTGCTGAAACCGACGGTAAAAGTGCTAAACATCTAAAGACAGTTGTCTTGAATCACGATTTAGTGCTTCAGATCCTCTCATACCTACCAATCCATGAGTTAATACATTTGGAGAGACTCTCACAGCAGTTCCAGTTGTGCGCCAACTATTGGTTCCGTAAAGTAAAGTCAATTTCAATCAACAGGTGTTATCACATCAATAGATATCTACCAAAGGATGATATTATTCCTCCGGAGTCTGCATTTTCGTCATATATTGCTAACAAATGGGTAAATTATATCAACAGTAAAGATGGAAACCTCTTTCTGACTCAAAAGTTACCAAACATTGAATTTTTGTCAATCGGTTATTTAGACACTGATTTCCAAACACATTATGATATCGTCGATGCCATGAAATCATTGAAAATGATATACATTTGTAGTCCCATACGCTTTACAGACATAGAATCCCTATTATTGGGACAACTTTTGTCACAGAATATCACCAGAATTGGTATAAATCTACATTTTGTCGAAAGTATTAATGCGGTTGAATTGATCCGACAGTTAACCGGATTAACACATCTCTCCATAGCATCGACTAATAGAAACAGTATCTTTCAGATATGCCTGTGTTTACCACAAAGTATTAGATCATTACAACTGAGAAACTTGCGTCAAATGGACGAACAATTGGCACAAACAATGCTTGAGACCAATGCTAGACAATTGGATTCGCTCTATACTAATAAATGCAGTTTAAGTCCCGCAGCACTAGAAGTGTTCATCAATGGTATGGATTTGAAAGCATTCTCATATTGTTTGCATCTTGTATTCAATGAATGGCATTGTTTGCAAAGAGTGGCTCAAAAGCAGACAAATCTCGTATATTTGGGTCTTTATTATCATACTTTTCGCGATTACGAATACACTGAGAATTTGAGCCGATTTTCAAAAGTAAAAATACTTTTTCTAAAGTCATGTCGTGTTTCGGAGGCGGCGTTTGAATCGCTTATGAAATGTGTTCCTATGCTTAAGACTCTGGTCTTAAAGTACACATCAATTGAATGCAATGCAAACTATACACACAATTGTTTGACATGTTATCAACAAATGTTTCATTTGATTGCAAAACACACGACAATCAAAACACTGGCTTTTCATCACAAATATTATTTGAAATATACAGCCGTTTTGTGTCAAACACTCAATGAATTTCACAATTTATCGGCCATTCATTTGGATACATGGAAAGGAAAAATTAAAACCTATTATACAGATGTTTGTCGAGAATTTATCACTGATTTTATCGATTGGTATGAAATACCGGCGAAGAAGTGGTTCACAATTTGTGTCCTCAAGAATACCGGAGATCTAAGTATTGATCGACAAATACCTAGAAATTTGAGAATTAGGAGAAATTTATATTAAAAACATTTTTCAAATGATTCGTAATGTAAATGAAAATATTTATAGTATTTTGTTTTAATTAAAAAAATTTAATTCAATTTATTCAATATTTTTACCATGATTTATTTTTGTATAAATTAAAGTAATGTTAATATTGTTGTCAAAATCTGTAAAAATGTTGAAAATTATTTAAGAGTTTATTCAAAATGAGTGCCGAAACCGGCGGTAAGAGTGCTAAACATATGAAGACAGTTGTGTTGAATCACGATTTGGTGCTTCAGATCCTCTCATACCTACCAATCCATGAGTTGATACCTCTGGAGATAGTCTCACAGCAGTTCCAGTTGTGCGCAAACTATTGGTTTCGTAATGTAAAGTCAATTTCAATCAACAGGTGTTATCACATCAATAGATATCTACCAAAGGATGATATCATTCCTCCGATGTCTGCATATTCGACATATGTTCCTAACAAATGGGTAAATCTTATACACAGTAGAGATGGGAACCTATTTATGACACATAAGTTCCCAAACATTGAGTGTCTGTCAATCTGTCTTTTGTACACTGAATTCCAGACACTCTATGATATTCTCGATGCCATGAAATCATTGAAAATGCTATACATTTGCGATTCCAGACACTTTACAAATCAAGAATCCTTATTATTTGGACCACTTTTATCACAGAATATCACCAAAATTGGCATAAATCTACATTTCAGCGAAAGTATAAATGCAGTTGAATTGATTCGACAATTAACCGGATTAACACATCTCCTCATATCATCGACTAATAGAAACAGTATCCCTCAGATATGCCTGTGTTTACCACAAAGTATTAGATCATTACGACTAATATGCGAATATGAAATCGATGAACAAATGGCACAAACAATGCTTGAGACCAATGCTAAGCATTTGGATTCGCTTTATCTTAATAAATGCGGTTTAAGTCTCGCAGCACTAGAAGTGCTCATCAATGGTATGGATTTGAAAGCATTCTCATATTGTTTGCATCTTGTATTCAATGAATGGCATTGTTTGCAAAGAGTGGCGCAAATGCAGACAAATCTCGTATATCTGGGTCTCAATTATCAGGATTTTCTCAATTATGAATACACAGAGAATTTGAACCGATTTTGTTCAACGAAAACACTTTTTCTAAAGTCATGTCATGTTTCGGAGCCGGCGTTTGAATCGCTTATGAAATGTTGTCCAGTGCTTAAGACTTTGGTCTTAAGGTGCGTATCAATCAAATGCAATGCAAACGATGCATACAATGATAAATGTTTGACATGTTTTGGGCAAATGTTTTATTTGATCGCAAAACACACGACAATCAAAACACTGTCTTTTTATTACAGAGAATTGAGTGAAATGACAGTCGTTTTGTGTAAACAATTGAATGAGTTTCACAACTTATCAGCCATTCATTTGGATACATGGAAAGGCAAAATGAAAAGCAATTATACAGATTATTGCCGACAATTTATCACAGAATTAGTCAATTGGTATGAAATACCGGCGAAGAAGTGGTTTACAATTTATGTTCACAAGAATACCGGAGATCTAAGTATTGCTCGACAAATACCCAGGAATTTAAAAATTAAGAAGTGTTTGCTTTAAAAGCGGTTTTTCAATAGTTTAAAAATGAAGAGGAAAACGATTTATTTTGAGCATTAATTTATTCATTTAATGTCACAATAAAATTATTTTAACAATCTATGAATATGAATTTAATTGTAAAATTTATATACAAAATTTAATTATTATACGGCATTTACTTCAATGGTAACTATATGTGAGATATGGCACAGAATGTAACTGATTAGATAACAAATGGTTATAATTAAGTGATTATTGCGTAAATTGTATAGAAATACAGTAATTCACAACAAATAAAATGATTATATCTTTGGATCCTAAACTCCCCCGATAACACCTTTATATCCCCCCGATAACACTTTTAGCCCTAGCCCTTACTTTCATTAGTTATGCCCTTTATAGTATAAATGACAAATATAAATGACGAAGGGCTGGGTATGCGCAGAACACAAATGCGCAGTAACTTTAGGATCTAAAATTATATCCTATGATTCACTACTGGTTTGTGGTTAATGTAAATGTGTGGTTTATATATTTATAAATATTTAGCAACAAATATTTTTATTTTGTTTTTAATTAATTATTTTTAAAAATTTCCAAACCGTTACTTAATATAACTTATAATTTATTTATTAATTTAGATTATATTTATGATTTAATATATATTTGCAAAACACATATTGCAATGAAAATCTGTGAAGTGTGCGGCGAAACAGCGACCGGTATGTAATGAATACAAAATAAACAATTAATAATTACATTAATACATATTTAGGTTTTAATTTCGGTTCAATTACTTGTCCATCATGTAAGGCATTCTTCAGGAGACATGCATTTAAATATGAGGTAAAAACTATCATAAAAATCACATTAATATATAACTAAAACAGATTTTATTACAACAGAGATTCAATTGTCGTAATGATAATCACTAAAGCATATCATATCGTGCAAATGCATGTTTTTACCGGTTAGTTATATAAGTTTGGGACTTTGGGGGCAAACGAATCACATAATAAGGGGTGTTTTGAAGAACTTTTATTTTGCATATAAATGCATATTTGACTCATAAATGCATATAACTGCATATTTGGTCCTAAATCATAAAAACGCATGAATTTACTCAAAAATCATAACTAAACATTAATAAACTGTTAGAAAATTTACAATAAATGAAAATCAATTTTAGTTTATGACTAAATATTAATTTAAAAACAAATATCTATTTGATTAACATTATTTAGTAGTGTTAAAGTATTACCTATTGTAGTGGCAGGAATTATTATATCATTTAAAAAGGAATAATATATTTTTATTTTGTATTTTGCCATTAATTAATTATATTTAAATACGTTTTGAAAGGCTAACGACCATTTTCATCATAATATTTGGCCATATTGTTCATAAAATATAATAAATTATACTTATATCACATATTTAAAAATTTATAAATGCATATTTGAGTGCATATTTGACCATTTTTTAGTGCATTTTATATGACATATTTGACTGCTTATAAATGCATATATTTCTATGCTTTAATAATCACTGTGTGATCGATGTCTTAAACAGGGCGTCGTGTCGGAGATGTCGGCTCTCAAAGTGTTTTGCCGTCGGAATGAATAAAGTATTTAAATATTTATTATATATTGAATAATAAAAACATTACAATTATATAACAAATATTTCATAGGAATGGATACTAACCGCAGAGGAAAAGGAGTTCAGACGACAACAAGTGGAGGAAAACAGAAAGTATAGGGAAAATAAACGACGACTACAAGACATGGACTCTATTATTGCGGACAACAATTCACACGACATATCAAATACGGACACAAATGAAAGCTCATTGGAAGAGATGTCCGCCGAAGATATCACTGAATATATTATGCAAATCGAGAACTTTATCGGCGACGAGACTATCGGCCAAATGGACAACAGTATAGCACAAGACACTAATCGCCGGTGCGATACAACTCAGGAGTTGGTGACAATCACCACAACAGTTCCCATACCTATCGACGACTACAAGAATCTAAACGATATTGAATGCAATCGACTGAAAGAGTTGATGAATATCTCAATATTTAGCCCACAGTTTCAGCAATACATGAAAGAGAGGGCCAGTTATCCGGCGGCGGCAACAATGGCCCCGTACTATACAGTCCACGATCTCGTCTATAATACTGTTCAGGGAATCGACTCTTTTATCGAGAGTTTCACACATCACACAAAATCTCTGACAGCGTTTGGCAGCACATGTCTTGACGATCAAATAGCCATGGTCAAATACACGGTGCTCGAGGCCAGTGCCTTACATGGTGCTTTTCATTTTAATTATGATTTAGAGTGTTGGACTAATAAATGGGTTTGTACCAAGCGCATTTTATATACTTATAATTTATATAAACATTTCCTGAATTTACTATACAATTATAGGGCACTCAGCCTTCGGTAATGAAATTGGATTTGTTTAAAGACATTTCCATAGAAGTGTATACCATATTCAAAAAGCTATTACTGGCGGCCAAAGAGTTTAATCAAGATGGTCTGGTAATGATCTTGGTATGTGTATTTAATATTGTTAATAATATACATGTAATTAGATTCAATTTTATTTTATTCATACAATAGTTGATTCCCTTACTATTGTTTAACGCCAACCGGCCATACATTACACATAAAAAGATGGTTAAGTATGTGATTATTAGTGAATTAAGTATTATGTTATTTACGATTAAAGTAAACATTTTATTTAATAACTAGATTTCAACGCAAAATATATGCATATTTACTTCAACGGTATTTATACGTGAAATACGGCACAGAATATAATGTAAAGTACGGACATGTGTTAAGTATTTTACACGATATAAAATTATTGACTGACATTTATAAAGAAAACTTCGCTCGTGTTTCACAGTCTATAGAGTTGAGCCCACTTTTGAAAGAGATTTTGTACGACAATTCTGACCACTGTATTAAAACATGATAAATTCATTTATAAATTTAAATAATTATAATAATGCTAATATTTTAAAATTTTATTTTTTAAACCAATTTTTTTTCAAAATGTGCTCAAAATAAAAGTAATTTAAAATTTTGCTCAAAATGAGTGCTAAAACAGACGGGAAAAGTACTAAACATATGAAGACAGTTGTCTTAAATCATGACTTATTGCTGCAGATCTTCTCATACCTCGAGATATATGAGTTGATACCTTTGGAAAGAGTCTCAAATCAGTTCCGGTTTTGCGCCAACTATTGGTTCCGCAAACAGAAGACAATATCAATCAACAGTTGCTTTTGGAGCCATAGATATCTACCAAAGTATGATATTATTCCTCAAATGTCATCAATTCCGGCACATATTCTTCAGACCAATTCAGAGGGATATCGAAGTCTTATAGCGAGTAAAGAGCGGATTCTTTCTTTGACACAAAAGTTACCAAACATTGAGTGTTTGGCTATCAGTCACGTCGACACTAATATGCAGACACTCTATGATATTCTCTCTGCCATGAAATCATTAAAAATGCTATTCATTTGCATTTCCAATGACTTTACAATTCAAGAATGCCGACGATTGGGACTATTATTGTCACAAAATATCACCAAAATTGGTATAAATCCACATTTCGATGAGAATATCAGTACAAATGAATTGACTCGAGAGTTAACCGGATTAACAAATCTAATCATATCATCGACCGATAGAAACAATGTCCTTCACATATGCGAGAGTTTACCACAAAGTATTAGATCATTACAACTAAAAGACAGAAATCCAGAGCAACACCAGGTATTCAATGAACAATTGGCGCATCAAATACTCAGGACTAATGCTAAGCGTTTAAATTCACTTCATATTTATAGCTATGTTCTAAGCGATGGAGCATTGGATCTGATCATCAATGGTATGAATTTGAAAGAATTTTCCTATCAAATGCCCGATGAATCAAATCAGTGGCATTGTTTGCAAAGAGTGGCACAAAAACAGACACAACTCGTATATCTGTGTCTCATTGCGCAGTGGTTTTACGATTATGAATACACAGAGAATTTGATGACATTTTGTTCAGTCAAAACACTATCACTCATTATATCCGGACCAAAGTTATTGGTGTTTGAATCACTACTAAAATGCTTTCCAGTGCTTAAGACACTAGTCTTACGCAACGTAACAATTGATTGCGGTATCGAAGGAGACAAGTGTTTGACATGTTATCGACAAATGCTTTATTTGATCGCAAAACACACGGCAATCAAAACACTCGGTCTTTATTGTTATGATTTAATCAAAAAGACAGCCGTTTTGTGTAAACAATTGAATGAATTTCACAATTTATCGGCCATTCATTTGCATCCAGGAATGTGGCGATTGTTTTATAGCGAATCTTACAACGAATTCATCACTGATTTCATCGATTGGTATGAAATACCGGCGAAGAAGTGGTTCACGATTTGTGTTCTCGAGAAGACCGGAAATATTAGTATTGATCGACAAATACCCAGGAATTTGAGAATTAGAAGGAATTTGTATTAAAATAGACATTACTATATAATTTACAAATATTTTATTTAAATAGATTTTAACACAAACTATACTTGACAAGTATTACTTGTATTTAATTCTGTCTATACTTAAAATATGTCACAGAATATAATGTAAAATATGGCAAAGTGTTGGGTATTTTACACGATATAAAAATATTGAATCAATTATTGAGAGAAATTTTTAAACTCACGGCAAATGGTGTAGAGTTTAGTTCACTTTTCAAAGACATTTTGGACAATAATTCTGACCACTGTATTAAAACTTGATACATTTATTTTTAATTAATCTTTGTATAATAATTTATTTTATTGTTTTGCATTAATTGAATATTTATATTTCTTTAGATCAAATAAAAAATTTGAAAATTTTATTTTCAAATATTTTACAAAAATGTAAGCAAAATAAAAGTAAATTAAAATTTTGTTCAAAATGAGTGCCGAAACCGACGGAAAAAGTACTAAACATCTGAAGACAGTTGTCTTGAATCACGATTTAGTGATTGAGATCTTCTCACACCTCGAGATCTATGAGTTGATACGTCTGGAGAGAGTCTCAAATCAGTTCCAGTTTTGCGCCAACTATTGGTTCCGCAAACAGAAGACACTCTCAATCGACAATTGTTTTGAAACCAATAGATATCTACCAAAAGATGATATCATTCCCCGAATGACTGCATTTCCGGCACATATTCTTGAGACCAATTCAGAGGGAGAGCCAAGTCTTATGCCGAGTAAAGAAAAACTGCTTTTGTTATTACAAAAGTTGCCAAACATTGAGTGTCTGGCTATCAGTCAATTTAATACCGATTTCCATACACTGTATGACATTTTCGACGCCATCAAATCATTGAAAATGCTTTACATTTGCTTTTCATACGGATTCACTGATTGGCAAATGAGAGCATTGGGACGACTATTGTCTACAAAGATTGCAAAACTCGGCATACGATATCATTTTACTGAAAACGTTAATCCGATTGAATTGATCCGAGAATTAACCGGATTAAAGCACCTATACATTCATTCAAATCAAGTAAACAATGTGTCCGATATATTTGCTTGTTTGCCACCAAGTATTAAATCACTTGAGATTATAGATATAGAATTGCTTGATGTAGATTTGGTGCAAACAATGCTTGACTCCAATACTAAGCGTTTGGATTCGTTTTATAATTATAAGATATTCGCCGAAGCATTAGAACTACTCATCAATGGTATGGCATTGAAAGCATTTGCTTATGGTTTACGTATTCATCCAAATCAATGGCATTGTCTGCAAAGAGTGGCCCAAAAACAAACACAACTCGTATATCTGGGTCTCGATTATCAACAATTTAGTGATTATTATTACTCCGAAAATTTGAACCGATTTTATTCAGTGAAAACCCTTTCAATCGCTTTCTGCGGAATGAAAGTAACGGCTTTTGAATCGCTTATGAAATGCTTTCCAGCGCTTAAAACACTGGTCTTCAAGAATAACGTAATTAATTGCGATCTCGAATTCAATTGTTTGACATGTTTTGGCCAAATGTTTCATTTGATTGCAAAACACACGACAATCAAAACACTGGCTCTTTATTATCACAATTTAACCAAAAAGACAGCCGTTTTGTGCAAACAATTCAATGAATTTCACAATTTATCGGCCATTCATTTGCATCGCTATTTTGACGCTCCGACAGAATATGCAAACTTTTGCAACCAATTGATTACTGATTGCATCGATTGGTATTCACTTCACCCCAAGAAATGGTTCACAATCTGTGTTCACAACAATACCAGAGACCTGACAATTGATCGACAAATTCCCAGGAATTTGAGAATTAGAAGAAATTTGTATTAAATACAGAGTTTTGACAATTATTCGTAAAACAAATAAAATTATTATAAATTTGTTATGCTTTAGGTTTAAGTATTGATATTTGATAAAATTTGATTTGCAATTCAATTCAAGTTTTAAATTCAATGAATATTTAAACATTTCTAATCGAATTTGTTTAAATAATAATATTACTTGAATATCATTTAATAAAAGGTCAGTTTAATTTATCAATTATTTGTATAAAGCAAATTAGTTTTGATTTCCTATTATTGTTATTTTTATAAAAGCTGTTAAAAAAATTTATTCAAAATTTTAAAAATATATTGTATGCAAAAAGTGATTCAAATATATGATTCAAAATGAGTGCCGAAACCGACGGCAAAAGTACTAAACTTCTGAAGACAGTTGTCTTAAACCACGATTTGGTGCTTCAGATTCTCTCATACCTCGAGGTCTATGAGTTGATACCTCTGGAGAGAGTCTCAAATCAGTTCCAGTTGTGCGCCAACTATTGGTTCCGCAAACAGAAGACACTTTCAATCGACAGTTGCTTTGAAACCAATAGATATTTACCAAAAGATGATATCATTCCCCGAATGACTGCATTTCCGACATATATTCTTCAGACACATCCAGACAGAGAGCCCAGTCTTACGGCGAGTAAAGAAAAACTGCTTTTGTTATTACAAAAGTTACCAAACATTGAATGTCTGGCTATCAGTCACTTCGATACCGATTTCCATACACTCTATGACATTCTCGATGCCATGAAATCATTGAAAATACTTTACATTTGTATTTTCTGTGAATTTACTGATTGGCAAATGAGAGCATTCGGACGATTATTGTCAAAGATTGCAAAACTCTGCATAAGATTACATTTTACTCTAAACATTAATCCTATAGAATTGATCCGAGAATTAATCGGATTAACACATCTATACATTTATTCCAATCAAGTAAATAATCGGTCCGATATGTTGGCATGTTTGCCACAAAGTATTAAATCACTCCAGACGAAATATCCAGCATCGTTTAATGTAGATTTGGTGCAAATAATGCTTGACTCCAATACTAAGCATTTGGATTCGTTTTATAACTATGAGATAACCGCCGAAGCATTAGAACTGCTCATCAATGGTATGGCATTAAAAGCATTTTCATATGGTATACGTATTGAACCAAATGAATGGCATTGTTTACAAAGAGTGGCACAAATGCAGACAAATCTCGTATATCTGGGTCTCTATTATCAGTATTTTATTGATTATGATTACAAAAGTTACCAAACATTGAATGTCTGGCTATCAGTCACTTCGATACCGATTTCCATACACTCTATGACATTCTCGATGCCATGAAATCATTGAAAATACTTTACATTTGTATTTTCTGTGAATTCACTGATTGGCAAATGAGAGCATTGGGACGACTATTGGCAAAGATTGCAAAACTCTGCATAAGATTTCATTTTACTCTAAACATTAATCCTATAGAATTGATCCGAGAATTAACCGGATTAACACATCTATACATTTATTCCAATCAAGTAAATAATCGGTCCGATATGTTGGCATGTTTACCACAAAGTATTAAATCACTCCAGATGAAATATCCAGCATCGTTTAATGTAGATTTGGTGCAAATAATGCTTAACTCCAATACTAAGCATTTGGATTCGTTTTATAACTATGAGATAACCGCCGAAGCATTAGAACTGCTCATCAATGGTATGTCATTAAAAGCATTTTCATATGGTATACGTATTGAACCAAATGAATGGCATTGTTTACAAAGAGTGGCACAAATGCAGACAAATCTCGTATATCTGGGTCTCTATTATCAGTATTTTATTGATTATGAATACACAGAGAAATTGAACCGATTTTGTTCAGTGAAAACACTTTTTCTAAAGTCATGTCGTGTTTCGGAGCCGGCGTTTGAATCGCTTATGAAATGTTGTCCAGTGCTCAAGACTTTGGTCTTAAAGTACACAACAATTAAATGCAATGCAAACCAACTGTCCTTTTGTTTGACATGTTTTTGGCAAATGTTTCATTTGATAGCAAAACACACGGCAATCAAAACACTGGGTCTTTATTATCACAATTTGATCACAAAGACAGCCGTTTTGTGCAAACTATTCAATGAATTTCACAATTTATCGGCTATTCATTTGGATCGCTATTATGACACTCCGGCAGAATATACAAACTTTTGCAACCAATTGATTTCTGATTTCATCGATTGGTATTCAATAGACCCCAAGAAATGGTTCACAATCTGTGTTCACAACAATACCGCAGATCTTACTATCGATCGACAAATTCCCAGGAATTTAAGAATCAGAAGGAATTTGTATTAAATACAGAATTTAGACAATTATTGGTAAAACAAATAAATTTATTATGAATTTGTTATGCTTTAGATTAAAATAATTTATAATAAATCTGTTTTGCAATTCAATTCAAGAAAACTTAAGTTACTTATAAAAATACAAAGATTATTTTAAATGTACATTTAATATTAAATTATTTTCCAGTTAAATTCAATAGTTAATGTACATTTCGTTTAAAATATATCGTTTAATTAAGACAGATTTATTTCATAAAATTTGTATAAAAATTATTGTTTTTATTGAAAATTTTAAAAATAAATTGTATGCAAAAAGTGATTCAAAATGAGTGCCGAAACCGATGGCAAAAGTACTAAACATCTGAAGACAAATGTCTTAAACCACGATTTGGTGCTTCAGATCTTCTCATATCTATCTATTGATGAGTTGATATCTCTGGAGAGAGTCTCACAGCAGTTCCAGTTGTGCGCCAACTATTGGTTCGGCAAACAGAAGACAATATCAATCAATAATTGTTTTACAATTCATAGATATCTACCAAAAGACGATATCATTCCCCGAATGTCTGCATTTCCGGCACAAACTCTTCAAATAAAACCAAACCAAAGGCCAAGTCTTGAGGAACGGCTGCTTTGGTTATCACAAAAGTTACCAAACATTGAGTGCCTGGCGTTGAGTCATATCAATACCAATTACCAGACACTGTATGCCATTCTCGATGCCATGAAATCATTGAAAATGCTATACATTTGCTGTTTTTGGTACATCACTGCAGACCAGAGCAGAGCATTGGGACAACTCTTGTCCACAAAGATCACAACACTTGGCATTAATCCTCACAATAAAGAATACATCCCAGCATTTGAGATGATTATCCCATTAACCGGATTAACACATCTAAACATTACTGTCAATGATATAAATAGTGTCGCCGTCTTATGCAGTTGTTTACCACAAAGTATTAAATCACTGCAACTGTTTGCACCATCATCGCTTGGGATCAATGTAAACGTTATGCAAAGAATGCTTGAAACAAATGCTAAGCAATTGGATTCACTTTATATCTATACCTATCGTTTATGTCCGGACGCACTGCAACTGCTTATCGATGGCATGCAATTACAGGCGCTTTCATATGAAATGCGATTTGATATAAATTCGTGGCATTATTTGCAAAGTGCGGCACAAAAGCAAACAAATCTCGTATATCTGGGCCTTAGATCTCAGAGTTTTTACGATTTTTATCAATACTCCGAAAATTTAATCCCATTTTCTTCAGTCAACACACTTTCACTCACTTTCTGCGGACCAAAAGAGGCGGTCTTTGAATCGCTAATGAAATGCTTTCCAGCGCTTAAGACATTGGTCTTAGAAAACACGTCAATCGCTTGTAATATCAATGGTAACAATTGTAAGACATGTTTTAGACAAATGTTTCATTTGATTGCAAAACACACGGCAATCAAAACACTGGCTCTTTATTGCAATAATTTGATCGGAAAGACAGCCGTTTTGTGTCAAACACTCAATGAATTTCACAATTTATCAGTCATTCATTTGCATCGATGCAAATGTACTGCAAATATTTTGGCCATATTTCTCAATGATTTCATGGATTGGTATTCAATAGACCCGAAGAAATGGTTCACAATCTGTGTTCACAACAATACCGGAGATCTCACTATTGGTCCGCAAATACCCAGGAATTTGAGAATTAGAAGGAATTTGTATTAAATACAGGGTTTCGACAGTTTTTGGTAAAACAAATGAAATAATCAATTTGTTATGCTTTATACGAATGTAATTTATAATAAATCTGTTTTGCAGTTCAATTCAAGTTTTTAATTCAATGAATATTTTTATATTTCTATTAAAATTTACAATCATAAAATTTATCAAAAAAATTATCGTTTTTATTGAAAATTTTAAAAATAAATTGTATGCAAAAAGTGATTCAAAATGAGTGCCGAAACCGACGGCAAAAGTACTAAACTTCTTAAGAAGTTCTTAAACCACGATCTGGTGCTTCAGATCTTCTCATATCTATCTATTGATGAACTGATACGTCTGGAGAGAGTCTCTCAACAGTTCCAGTTGTGCGCCAACTATTGGTTCGGCAAACAGAAGACAATATCAATCAATAATTGTTTTACAATCCATAGATATCTACCAAAAGATGATATCATTCCCCGAATGTCTGCATTTCCGGCACAAACTCTTGCAATAAAACCAAACCAAAGGCCAAGTCTTGGGGAACGACTACTTTGGTTATCACAGAAGTTACCAAACATTGAGTGCTTGGCGTTCGGTCACATCGAAACCAATTACCAGACACTGTATGCCATTCTCGATGCCATGCCATTGAAAATGCTATACATTTGCTGTTCGTGGATCATGACTGCAAAACAGAGCAGAGAATTGGGACAACTATTGTCCACAAAGATCACAAGACTTGGCATTAATTTCCACGACAGACAATACATCCAAGCATTTGAATTGATTCGTCCATTAACCCGATTAACACATCTATACATCTACGACAAGAATAGTGTCCACCAGTTATGCAAATGTTTACCAAAAAGTATTAAATCACTGCAACTTTTTACACAATCATCGCTTGGAATCGATGTGGATGTGGCGCAAAAAATGCTTGAATCCAATGCTAAGCAATTGGACTCACTTTATATCTATACCTATAGTTTATGGCCGAACGCATTGGAACTGCTCATCAATGGCATGCAATTACAAGCACTTTCATATGAATTACGAGACGATACACATTCGTGGCGTTGTTTGCAAAGTGCGGCACAAAAGCAAACAAATCTCGTATATCTGGGCCTTAAGTCTCAGAGTTTTCCTGATTATCAATACTCCGAAAACTTAAACCCATTTTCTTCACTCAAAACACTTTCACTCTTTGATTGTCGACCAAAAGAGACGGCCTTTGAATCGTTAATGAAATGCTTTCCAGCGCTTAAGACATTGGTCTTAGAAGACACGACAATCACTTGTCAGACCAATGGTAACAATTCTAAGACATGTTTTGCACAAATGTTTCATTTGATCGCAAAACACACGGCAATCAAAACACTGGCTCTTTATTGCAATAATTTGATCGGAAAGACAGCAGTTTTGTGTCAAATATTTAATGAATTTCACAATTTATCGGCCATTCATTTGCATCGAAGCACATGTACTAAAACTATTTTAGACTTATTTCTCAATGATTTCATCGATTCGTATTTAATAGATCCCAAGAAATGGTTCACAATCTGTGTTCACAACAATACCGGAGATCTCACTATTGAGCGACAAATACCCAGGAATTTGAGAATCAGAAAAAATTTGTATTAAACCAGAGTTTAGACAATTATTATTAATACAAATAAATTTATTATCAATTCGTTATGCTTTAGATTAAGTAATTTAATCATAAATCTGTATTGCAATTCAATTCAAGTTTTAAATTTAATGAAAATATTAATATTCCTAATTATTGTAGAAATTTTTAAAAATACAGTAATATGTAATAATATGTCAATTTATTTAAACATTCAGGTTTAATTTGTCCAAGATATAAAATTACATTAATATAACATTTATTACATTGAATTATTATTAAAAATGTTATTTAAAAATTTCTATTTCAAAACATTATAATCTATTGTAAAATTCAAGGCGTTATTATAATAACGTAAGTGTTTAAACAACTGATTAGATAACTAAACTATGAAGTTTACTTTAATCTTTAAATTATAGCATTCGCTAAGTTTTATTAATATTTTGATTATAATTCAGTGATTATTGCGTGAATTGAATAGAAATACAGTAATTTAATAAAAACATAACGATATGATTCACTATACTATACAAACACAAATATATAGTTTCAAAACAACTACAGAATAATTTAAATATAAAATTTTTGTTAAACTAAATCAATTTCATAATTACAATTAATAATTACATTTAATTCATATTTAGTATTATATTTAATGCAAAACATATACTGCAATGAAAAACTGTGAGGTTTGTGGCGAAACAGCGATCGGTATGTAATTAAAACATAGTAAACATAATTTAACATTTTATTTATTAACTATTTTAGGCTATAATTTTTGTGCCATTACATGTCAGTCGTGCAAAGCATTCTTCCGGAGACATGCATTTAAATATGACGTAAATTCTAAGTAAATAATTACAAATTTAATTAATTAAATATAATTTTATCGCAAAGAAATACAAATGTCGTTACGATAATCACTGTGTGATCGATGTCTTAAACAGGAGGTTATGCCGAAGATGTCGGCTCTCAAAGTGTTTTGCCGTCGGAATGAATAAAGTATTTAAATATTTATTATATATTTAATAATAAAAACAATACATTTGTATAACAAATATCTCATAGGAATGGATACTAACCGCAGAGGAAAAGGAGTTCAGACGACAACAAGTGGAGGAAAACAGAAAGTATAGGGAAAGTAAGCGAAGACTTAAAGACATGGACTCAATGGCAGAGATTAATAAATCATCCGAAATATCAAATACGGACACAAATTCATGCAATAATAACATCAAATCACCGGTAGATTTAAATAATGACACAAATACTGCCGACACTGACTTCGGATCTCCCGATACATCAAATGCAAACACAAACGAGAGCTCTGAGTGTGAGTTAACCGCCGATGAGATCAAAGATTATATTATGGAAATTGAAAACTTTATCGGCGACGAGACTATCGGCCAAATGAACAACAGTATAGCCCAACGCACTAATAGCCGATGCCATACAACTCAAGAATTGGTGCCAATCACTGCAACAGTTCCCATACCTATTGACGACTACAAGAATCTAAACGATATTGAATTCAATCGCCTGAAAGAGTTGATAAACACATCCATATTTACTCCAGAGTTTGAAAACTATAGAAAAACGAGATTCACTTATCCCGATAACAACCCATTGCCCAAGTTCAATTCAGTGATGGACCTTGTTCATATGGCCGGACAAGGGTTTGATAGCTTTATCGAGACTTACATACATCACACAAAACGGCTGACAGCGTTTAGCAGCATATGTCCGGACGACCAAATGACCATGGTCAAATATAGCAGCCCCGAGGCCAGCTTACTTAATGGTGTTTATTATTATAATTACAATAGCGAGTGTTGGTTCATGAAAAGGGTTTGTATCAAGCATATTTTTACCATATTCTACTATGTATTTTATACCATTACAGGGCAATGAAACATCTGTTATGCCATTGAATTTATATAAAGAATTTTCCGTAGAAATGCATGACTTGTTTAAACAGGTGTTGCTTAACGTGGTCGATGCAATTGGTAGCGATCATCTCATATTGAATATGGTAAAATAAAGCAGCATTTATATTATTATAGTTGTTTAATTGACTGATTTGAATGTAACAGTTGGTGCCTCTGCTGCTGTTCAACGCCGACCGGCCATACATTTCACATAAGGAGACTGTTATGTAATGCAAATCATCATTAAATACATACAGATATTAATTGTATTAATTATAAATTTAATAGATTTCAACACAAACTATACGCGTATTTACTTCAACGATATCTATACGTGAAATACGGCACAGAATCTAATGTAAAGTACGGCAAAGTGTTGAGTATTTTACACGATATAACATTAGTGATGGAAATGTATAAGAAAGCCATAAAACATATGTCACAAAATTCACCGCTTTTGGGGCCACTTTTGAAAGAGATTCTCGATATTGAACATGATACATTAATTCAATAATTTATTACCATAATTTATTTTTGTTTTTATATTGAATAAATAAAGTTAGTAATGATTGAATTTATTAATACTATTCAAAGTTGGCGTATAAGTTGTCATAAGCCCTAACCATTGGACATATAGATAAGATTATCACTAAAATACACAGAATAGCCATTCGCTGTGTTTTTGTAAATACAGTTGTATTAATAATTTATTAAACGCAAATAAACTAGTTCGTACTGTACAAGGCAAACCAGTTTTGTAACACTAGTACAAGGTATATTATAGCAAAGTTTGTATTACATGTGTTCCCTTTGCACTAAAATAACTGATAATATATTCAATTTTGTCATGGTGATTGATTTTTATATATTTAATTAAATGTAATACATAATTGTAAATAAAGGTTTGGGATTAGAAACATGTTTAATAAATTAAAAGTGTGTGTAGTTTGTAAGGAAAGGGCTAAAGGTATGGATATTATTATTTAATATTTAACACATGATTAAAATTGTTTATTACATAACCCTTTGAATCGATGTTTTATTAATTGCTGTTTATTTAACAAAAATGATTAAAATTTGTGTCAATTTATAGGCAATAATTTCGGTGTAATTACATGTCAGTCGTGTAAAGCCTTCTTCAGAAGAAATGCCAACAAATCGATAAATGTATGTAAAAAGTAATTAATTAATTAAACAGTTTATTAATTAATATAACTTAATGTTAATTACAAAACAGGTATTTAACTGTGAATACGAAGACAATTGCGATATAAGTATCGCAAACAGAAAGACATGCAAAAAATGTCGGCTCAAGAAGTGCTTCGCTGTGGGAATGAAAAAAGTATTCATTAATTAAATATAACTTTTAATTATGAATTAATTTTAATGATAATTATTTTGTGCGAAGGAATGGATACTAAATGAAGACGAGAGACAATTGAGACGCAAACAGATTGAAGACAATCGACACAAACGGGAGAAACTTATGAGAGATAAAGAGATCAAATCGATGTCACTATCTGTGAGTCCATCACTTCGGGAATCATCCGATTCGGGAACCGCTGAAGACTTTATCATGTCTTCAATGGACACCACTTTCATCGGCGACGAAGAGTTGTGCGAATATATCAAAGAAATTGACAATTTTTGCTCAATTGATACTTTCGGCGAAAATACTGATCCAAACAAAGAGTTGTCGGAAACCCTACCAACGGATCCAGTGATCGCATACCCGCTAAACATCGGGCTAACAAACGCCATGTTTGCCGAAGACATTACCAAAAACACACCTCAATCTCAAGACAACGAACAAGAGATTACACAAAAAATTAATGACACAAATGGCGGTAAATTATCTCAAGAATCGGCACTAAAGCTACAGTTGGTGTCAACCCAACCGTCCACTCAAAGCCTGTCCGCAAACTCACATTATCTGAATAAACACGAATCCAATTGCCTTCTGGAACTGTTGGGTGCCATCAGTCACTTAACAACGCCTCCCATTCCCTCGTCTAACGCCGTCAACGGGTTCTTCAGATCACCGGAAGAGCTGATGAACTACTCGGTGGAAGTGTTTGACAGCTATTTAAGCGATTTTGTCGATTCAATTAAAAAGATCAGCGCTTTTCAACACATATGCCTCAACGATCAGATCGCCCTGGTCAAATATGGTTGCCTCGAGGTCAAAATGATTAGGATTGGTGTCTCTTTTGACATTAAAAACAAATGTTGGTCATTTCAAACGGTATATTACATGTGAATTAATTGCTGTATTTTATTGCATTCAGTAATTTATAATTTTGTAATTAATGTTTTTCCAATTAAAGGACAATAACGACACAATTAAGCTGAGTTTGGATCTGTTTAAAGGCTTTAAGACAAACACTTATAGCGTGTTGAAGAAATACCTGTTACGTGTGGTCAATGAATTGGACCATGATCACTTAATACTCAACCTGGTATTTATTATTAGCTAGTTTGAATTTATCGTACACATTAAATAACCATTTTCATTTGTTAACAGTTAGTACCCATACTGTTCTTCAATCCCGAGCGGCCAAACATTATCCATAAAGAAGTTGTTGTGTAATGATTGCTATAAATTATGATTAGTTATAATTGTGTAATAATTAAATTCAATTAATTTGTCACTTAATAGCCTTCAACAGCAACTATACGTGTATTTATTGCAGAGATATTTGCGTTTGAAATACGGCTCCGAAAGCGATGTGCGAAACAAATTCCTACGTATATTGAATCTCATGCAAGACGTCCAGGCGTTGGATAAATTGCATAAACAAAACATGATTACAACCGTTAGTCCAAACAATTTTGGACCACTTCTTAAGGAGATTCTCGACATTCAGACCGATCTCTGTATTGATAACTAATTATTCATAAAAACTATAATAAAATTATAATAATTGTTAGATATTTTTGAAACATTATAATTAATATGTGTAGTAATTAATAACAATCGTTATTTTTAGACTGAAAATGTACATTCATTAGTTTACATTGTATAATTAATCGCACTATTAAAACATTTAGTATACTTTTAGTGCTTTTTCAATTAAATTGTTTTAGAATAATTGTAAATTCAATATAAGATTAAGTAATAATAATAATAAAAATATAATAAATGTTTAAGATTTTATAAGAATAGTAATTAAATTTCATTAATAATTAGTTTGCAATTGTATATAAATTATGTAATAAAAATGTATTTTTATTTAAACAACATTCAGTTGCTTTAACATTGAAAAAGATTAACGAAAATAAATATATTAATTATTATTTATCACAAATTGTTATTGACTGCATTTCTTAGAAAATGCAAGAATTTTTATACTGTATTATACTTTTCTACATTTCTATACTGTATCAATATAATCAATAAGATATTTATTTTATCAGTGTTGCTTATGCTTGTATAAATTGCACCATATTGAGTGCACTTCTAAAATAATTAAAGCTTATAAATAACATAAAATTTACAATATTTTATTGTAAATGTTTAATAAATTAATTATTAAGAATTTTATTGTGTATTAATTTACTAAATATTCAATTAATAATAAATGGATAACTTGTCAAGAATTTGTAAAGTCTGTGGAGTTGAAGCTAATTGTATATTTATTACTTTAATTTTACTTTATTAAAAATTAACATGGTTAATAAAACTAATTCAAATTATTAAAATATTTTAGGCATCAATTTCTGTGCCCTAACGTGTCAGTCGTGTAAAGCCTTTTTTCGACGAAATGCTCTCAAAACAACCGTATTTTATTTAAATTATATTTAAAATTATAAATTTTATGTCCAAATGAATGCTATATAAAAGTTACTGTTCAGGTATACAGGTGTAGGTTTGGCGACAATTGCCATATCAATGAAACCACACGAAGACTATGCAACAAATGTCGGCTCCAGAAATGTTTTGCTGTCGGCATGAAAAAGGTATTCATTGATTGGGAATTAATTTAATATTTGGACAATAATTGTACCATAATTTTGAAGGAATGGATACTCAATGACGAGCAGAAAAAGATGAGAAATTATCGGATCGAAGAGAATCGGAAACAAAAGCAAAGTAATCACAAAATGTCATCAAATGTTGACAACAAGAATACATCGAAAGTTAATATCAGTTCCTGTGATACTAATGACAAAACTATGGATACAAGAATTGAAAATAAACATGATGATTATAGTTACACAAACACAGATCAATTTACCATCATATCCAGGGCATCAAATACCCAGAGTAATTATTCAATAATTACCATCAATGATTGTTCATCAAATATAACACATGATAAGTCTAACAATCGTTGTATGGCTATAGATATACTCAATTGCGAAACTACTGACAGACTAAACAATTTGTATAGTTTTAATCCGTTTGAATGCAAACAAATGACTGAATTGTTTGACCAGAAATTTCTATCACATTATCCAATCTCTGAGAGGGTATCGATGTTCACAACTACCGGTACTACAGAACTCATTCAATTCAATGCAACTCATTTTGATATGCATTTAGGAATTTTTGTGCAAAAAATGCAACGATTGTCTGGATTTGCCTCCCAGTGTCTAAATGATCAAATAGCCATGGTCAAATATAACTGCATCGAAATAGGCTTATTAAAGTCACCCATGGAATATAATGTCGACAAAGAATGTTGGCAATTTGCAAAGGTAATAATGGTTTTATAATAAATAATATCGGGCTGAATACAAATTTATAAGCATTCTATATATTTTACTCTAAATTATATTATAATTAAATTATTTATTAATTATAAATTAAACAAAATATAACATTTAACAATAGGACGGAACGACAATTAAATTGGACTTTTTTAAAGGATTTAACGATAGGTTTTATAAACTTCTAAAGATATTCTTAACAACATTTGCTACAGAATTTCAGCACGATTTACATATTATAGAATTGGTATGAATCAACCATCATTATAATTAATCAAATATAATTATTGCATCATAAAAATAATTACAATATATTTGACAGCTAATAATTCTAACACTATTCAATCCCGAGCGACCAAATATAATTAATAAATATATGGTCGAGTAAGTCATTTACTACAATGTTTATATCACTTCACATATTTTGACTGATTTTTGTTATTTAATCACAGAATTCAACACCAATTATATCTGTGTTTACTTCAGAGATATTTACGGATAAGATATGGCACTGAATACGAGAGAAAATACTCAATGATTTTACATATCTTAAAGTGCACTCAAATGCTAAATGAAATACATATACAAAACTACCGCAAGATTTTGCCCGAAATGTGTGGACCAGTACTCAAAGAGATTCTTGACGTCCAGATTCGTTCAGAATAATTTTAATAAATTTACCATCATTAATGATGGTAATAATCATAATAATAATAATAATGTATTAGTAATACCATATTAGTAATACTGCCTTAACTTACCTTGTGAATTTGTTTTTAAATTGTATTAAAAATATTTACTTTTAATTATAAACTTATTTTAACGATAATTATTTTACATATTAATTGTGAAAGATAATTTAACCGTTTTTTCAGTATCTTTATCATAGATAATGACAAGTGATATCAGGGAATGAATGCAATAATAATAGTTTATTACAAATAAATTTTCTTTCAAATACAAACTTATATTCAGAATGTGTACAAAAATTATTTATAATTATTATAGTTACAGTAATAACGATTGTATTGATAAGTATTTATCGTAATTTGCTATTAACTTCAAACGTGCTTCAGTTTGTGTAAATGTCAATTGATAATATACAAACTTATATTTATAGTACAAACCAATTTACCATAATCATTAGAAAAATAGTATATTTATTAATCAGTGTTGCGTTGGTTACATTGGTTGAATTGAACTATTATTGGGTGCACTTTTAATTACTGTAGTTATAATTTATAAACACAACATTAACCGTATTTTTATGCATGTTTAATAAATGTTTTAATTCTTTATTAATTTACTTAATATATATAATAATAAATGGATAACTTGTCAGGAATTTGTAAAGTCTGCGGAGTCGATGCAAATTGTATTTATATTGTTACATAAAATATAAACTAACATGGTTGACATAACTAATTCAAATTATTTAAATATTTTAGGCATTAATTTCTGTGCCCTAACGTGTCAGTCGTGTAAAGCATTCTTTAGACGAAATGCATTCAAATTAACAGTAATTTATAAAATTATAATTTATTTAAAACATTTAATTAGAAATTTATAAACAATTCAGTGATATTTATAAAAATATGTGTTCAGATATACAGGTGTAGGTTTGATGACAATTGCCATATCAATGAAATCACACGAAGACTATGCAAAAAATGTCGACTCAAAAAGTGTTTCGCTGTCGGAATGAAAAAGGTATTCATTGGTTGGGAATTAATGTAATGTTTGGACAATAATTTTGCCATAATTTTAAAGGAATGGATACTCAATGACGAGCAGAAAAAGATGAGAAACAATCGGATCGAAGAGAATCGGAAACGAAAGCAAAGTAATCACAGGAATTCACTAAATGGTGACCAGAATTCACCGCAAACTGAGACCAATTCCTGTGACAGCAATACTAATGACAATAAATTCAATGAACATGTCTTGAAAACTGGTGCTAACCTTAATCTACAACCGACTCATAAATGCAATGAAACTATCGATACAATTACTGACGAAAGTATTATTAGTGATGATAAACAACTCGATGAAAATAGTAGCGCAAACTCCAGCCAATATAATGTCATATCTAGCGTATCAAATACCTCGAGTAATTGCCCAATAATTACCCTGGATGATTCTTCATCTGATACAACACATAATAAATCCAACAATCGTTGTATGGCTATAGACGTAATGGACTACAAGTCTATGGAGAGAATCAACAGTTTATACAGTTTTAATCCGTTTGAATGCAAACTAATCACTGAATTGTTTGACCGGCGATTGCTATCGGATTATCCGATCGCCAGCCGGGACTCAATGCCCGCAACAGTCAGTGAGCTTATGGTATACAATATCACTTATTTTGATCTAGCTCTGCAATCATATGTGGCAAAAACACAAGGTTTGAGTTCATTTACCTCCCAGTGTTTGAATGACCAAATAGCCATGGTCAAACATAGCGTCGTAGAGACAGGCGTATTAAAGTCTGCCATATTATATAATAGCGATAGAGAGGGTTGGGATTTCATTGAAAGGGTAATAATAATAACAAATTATTATAAATATAAATTTATTGCAACTATAATTAATGATGATTTAATTAAAAGTAAATTATATTGCATTAAACAATAGGACGGAAGGATTACGGGTGAACTTAAATTGGAGTTTTTCAAAGGATTTAAAGGCAGATTTTACGACCTTCTTAAAATATATTTGAACACGTTTTCACTTGAATTTCACCAGGATTTACATATCATTGAATTGGTATAAAATTACCATAATTATAATTATAATCATTAAATCAATTAATACTAACTAATAATTAATTATTCAACAGTTAATTCCCATAATACTGTTCAATCCTCATCAGCCAAACATTATCAATAAGAATATGGTTGAGTAAGTCATTCAATGATTATATGCTATATTATTATATAATTTATTACATTATGTTTTATAGACTTCAACACCAATTATACCTGTATTTACTTCAAAGATATTTACGTATAAAATATGGCTCTGAATACGAGAGAAAATATAATAAAATAATAGTTATTTTAAAATGCGGCGAATTATTGAATGAATTACATAAACAGCAATACCGAGAGTTTTCCCGTGAAATGTGTGGACCACTACTGCTAGAGATTCTGGACTTTCAGACCATTCATACCAATGTTTAAAATAATAATTACTTATTAAAATTTTACCATGGCTAATAAATTCCCTGAACTTTGCGGACCACTTCTTGAGGAGATTCTTGACATTCATAGTTAATTTATAATATCCAGGATATCATAGGATATTAATAATTCATCTATGTAAAATAATAATTTTACACTTTCTAATATTTGTAAAGTTTTATAACAATCATAATTACTAAATGCATAGTTGAAATAAAATTAATTGTTCATTATTTACTATAAATCTAACAATTTTGGTGCAATTTGTATGCAAATATTTAACATGATACTTTTTGATTTTATCATTCAACATTTGTCATTTCAATATACCTGTTTTTAATTTAGTTAATTTTGACATTTAATGAACAGATTGTCTGAATATTCTTACAATTAACATCTTGAATTTGTGGTAAATTAACATGTATTTCAACAATGAAAGCACCGGTTATTAGCCAATCATTAATTAACAAATGCGTTAAGCGTTGGCATCGTTTCAATTAATTGTTTTTTAGTGGCGATTCTGTGTTAAACCAGTCGAATAATGTATTTTCATTGTAAAACATGATATATTTTGGGACCAATTATGCAAATACCTGCACACCTTTATGTCATTGATTTTATGCTTATTGTCAATAAGTTATTGATATACAGTGTAATGTACTGTATTTTATTTTTATATTTAATGCCCTTGAGCATTTAATCTAATATTAATTCAATATTTTGCCTATTGTTAGACTTTTGCCGACTCAGTCCGCCATCAATAATCATAATGACAAATCCTGTTTTTGATTTATAATAAATTATTAATTATTATAAATAACTCATACATTGTTTCAACATATTGTTGTACATATTGTATGTATAAAATATTGTATATTTTAAATTTAAACGTTGAATTGTAATGTTGTAAATAAAATTTTACAAAATATATAATTAATAATTAAATAAAAATGAGTGAAAAATCAATTCATAAAGTGTGTGGTGTTTGCGGAGGTGTTTCACTGGGTATGATATATTGTAAACTTATTAGAAATTTTACCATAGGTTAACAATAATTATTTGTAAATATAAGATTTTGAAAATTAAAAAAGAGTTTAAGTTTTACATTAGGTTTACTCGTAACCATTTGCAGTGAACGTAATCTAATTATTATTTATATTTTCAATAAATTTTATTAAAACTGAATGCAATTTATGATAATTAAAGGCAAAAACTTCGGCGCCCTATCGTGTGAGCCCTGTAAGGCCTTCTTCAGGAGAAACGCATTGAAAAACAAAGTAATATAAATAGCATTTATAATTATAACAACAATTATAAAACTATTAATTGTGATCATTATCTGTGAAATTTCAGTTTAAATGTCGTTTAGGCAACAATTGTAGTATAGATACCATAACCCGAAGGTTTTGCTCAAAATGTCGTTTAGATAAATGCCTGGCCATCGGAATGAGACGGGTATTCATATTATGTTTAATTTAATATAAAATTTTACAATTTAATGATTATTTAAACAGGAATTCATAGCGAGTGACGAGAAAAAGGAGCTGAAAAGAGTTTCAAAGTTGCCAAATAATAGTTTAAATAATTTAACAAAAATTAACCATGCTAAAAATAAAGTTATAAATTCAACCAAGGAAGTATTGGTTGGAAATAATATCACAGATACGACTACTTTAGACACAGACTTCTTGAGTGAAATACTCGATGACAACAATTTCAGTGTCGATGCACTCAATGAACAGATTGTGGACATTGAGACCAGTATTCGCGCAAATGATAGAATTAATAGTCAAGTAATAAACAGATCTGATTATCAGACAAACCATATCTCAACAGATAATCAACAAAACAGTGATAATTATACGCAAAACTCATTAACACATTATTATTCACCGGAAAGTATCGACAAAAAAGTAGTGTCGGGGTATGAGATGCCTGTCATACCCATCGCCCGACCCATCGGTGACCACAAAATTGTTTTCAACGAAACCGAAATCTACATAATCAGTGAACTGATCCAATCGACTCAATTCGGATCAATAATGGGAACAAATTCTGTGTTTAAGATCAATGATAATCACGGCTTTAACTTCATATTAACCGAAAGGTTTGACAATTATGTGAGAAATGAGACCAAAGCTGTGAAAGGGTTGACCGCATTCAACACCATCTGCGAAGACGACCGCATCTTACTATTGAAGTACAGCTGCATTGAAGTGACATTCTTGCGGTCCATTCTCTACCTCAACGATACCGCCGATTATCTCCAACTTCAAGGGGTTTGTGTCCCACAAATAACATTTTGTTATTGTTTTATTATGTATATTTATTATAATTATTGTATGAATTTTAACCATGTTGATTATAGGACGCCGGTAGCACTATTATTTTAACCATGGACTTCTTGAAAAATTACCAGAATATTTATACCTCGTATAAAAATTTTGTAACAAAAATGTTGACTATTTGGGACTCCGATCGCACTCTCATTGATTTGGTATTTGTTATGATTAACAATAAACAACTAATTATGAAGTTTATTTCAGATGTATCCAATCTTGTTGTTTAACCCAGATCATTGTAATCTCGTCCATAGAGCTGTTGTCAAGTAGTATTTTTACACTTAATAATACTTCATATTTTAATTAATAATTGTAATATTTGTGATCATAGACTCCAACAACACATTTACATGCATTTACTTCAACGCTATTTATTACTGAAATATCGGTCAGAATCGGAGGCAAAGACCCGATTCTTGCAATTCATGAACATTTTAACGGAACTAAACGTCATGAGAGACATCCAGAGAACGCATACTTTGAATCATTCACTGAATATCTCACCACTTCTACAAGAAGTGTTTGATTTAAATCCAATTCCCAATTGTTTGTGACACCAATTTATATCAATATCTATACTAATATTGTATTTCTATTATGAAATTGTTTTAAATTATGTGAACACACGTGTAATTAAATAAGCTAAATAATAAATTAAGAAATTTTGACTTTAAAAATTGTTGCATGTTATTGATTAAACAATAACAACTCAATTAATGATTGTGGGAGTGTATTGTAAATGTGAAAAATACATCTTGCACAACTTGCATTGTACTTACAATACTAGTTGTACTTTGATTTTATTTTCTCCTTCAACAATCATGTTAAATATTATATGTTTGCAATTATCAATATAAAGTAGAATTAATACTTTAGTATTATTATAAGTAGTATTAAATATTTGTTATTAATCTATTATTACTGTATTGTATTAATGTTGCATTTTAACTAAATAAATAATATTTAATAATCTTATGGTTGATTTAAATGATAAGGCTATAAATTACCCGATGGGTACATGTACAAGTACATGGGTTAAACAATTTTAGGATGGTATATAAACTCAGTCGGATTTTGTTAAGTTTAATAATAGACTATTTTTTATTATAATCTAATAACTTATTGAATTAAACAAACTCTTTTATACGCTTATTATTAATTGATTTAAAACAATATGAATTATATATTAATTCTGTCGCTTTTTATATGCTTTGCTAATAATATTAGCCTCTCGTCCGGTGTTGTCGTTAAGACCACATCGGGTGCAGTGAAGGGTCAGACCATACGGGCGTTTGACACAAGTATTGACCAATTTTTGGGTATACCTTATGCCGAACCACCCGTCGGTAAACTCAGGTTCGCCAAACCTGAACCCATCAAAGCACCCACACCGGTAAAGTATAGACATTTTAACATGAATTACAAAACATTTTAATAGGAAAAAAATTAAATAAATATTACAAAACTCATGTTAAATTACTCTACTATGCTTTAGCAATATTGTAACAGTATACAATAAATTGCATATTAACCATGTGGTTAAAAATGTAATTAATTTCAGGAAGAGATAGACGGGACACAAACGGGAAACGCTTGCCTTCAAAAGAAAAACAACTTTTTAAAAGACTATTTCGGGAACCTATCGATGAGTGAGGATTGCCTCACATTAAACGTGTGGACAGCGCAGGGACTGGGGGTCGGGTCGGCGCTGAAGCCGGTAATGTTTTGGATACACGGCGGTTGGTTTCAGTACGGCTCCAGCTTTCAACACACGCCCGACTATTTCTGGTTTAACGGCACGTATTTGGCGGCCAATGACGTGGTGTTTGTGTCCATTAACTATAGGCTCGGTTTGTTTGGCTTCACGTATGGGGCGGACGAGACGGCGCCCGGAAATGTCGCTTTTCTCGACCAAGTGTTGGCTCTTAAATGGGTATCAATTGATCGCTTGTTTTAATTACAATTACTATTCAATAACAAAATAATTAATGATTTAATGATAGGTTAGAGAAAACATCCATCAGTTTGGCGGAGATAGGGATCAGATCACCATTTTTGGTCACAGCGCCGGCAGTTGGTCCGTATCGGCGCACATACTCTCCCCGCTATCCAAATGTCTCTTCAAGAGGGCTATTATGCAGAGCGGGGCCGACATTATGAACAAAAATCGTGGTTTAATTACTCGACCCGAAGCCCTATCTCTGGCCAAATCTGTGGCTAAGAACTTGAATTGCAGTTCAGATGAAGACAAATGGTTAGAGTGTTTGAAAGCCGTGGACGCGGAGCGGCTTAAAAGTGAGACTCCGACCACTGTATACCCCCTACAGGACGGCACAGACTTTTTGCCCGAATTACCCATCACTGCGTTCAATGCACACCATTTTAATCCTGGTACAATATTTAACTTGATAACTTTACACGATTTATTATTAACCATATTCACCATAACTTACCCAAACATTATCTGTATCTACATTATCGGCCACACCGGTTGGCACTGCCGAGTTCGAACCGGTTTATACGACATGGGGTCAATAATCTACCATTTGTGACCAAGGCAATGTTCACAACACTTGTACAGCTGGCGGCAATTGAATTGCACGATGTGAACGCCACCAAAATGACCGAGTTCTATTTGCGCGACGTTGACGCCGACAACTCCGACGAGCTTAAGACCGCTTTCTACGAGCTCTACACCGATGTGTCGATGAGGTGTCCGACATATCTATTCGCCCGACAGTACGCCCAACACTCGCCCGACTCGAGAGTATATTTCTACGACTTCTCGTACCAGAGTTTGAACGCTTACCGATGGGGTTGTGTTGGCCCGCAGATGGGTGTCTGTCACGGGGCCGAAGAGGAGTTCATGTTTGGCGTACCGCTGATGTATCCCAAGACGTTCACACCATTGGACGCACAGTTCGCCCGCACTGTCACTAAGATGTGGATTGATTTCGCTAAGACCGGGTTCGTTACGTTCGGGTTTAACTGTACTGTTTGTTTTGAAAAGTTGTTTAATTGTTTTGTTTTTTGTCTATTATAGTAATCCGGATAAGAAATGGCCGACAATTATCAGCCCCGGTAGCCCAGTGTCCATGTTTAAGGATCTCAGTCCATACGTACCGCAACGTGTGCTAAGGGATGCATATTATGATAATTGCGATCACTTTTGGGGCAATTATTTTCAATAAATAATTAATTATTAAATGATTAATTGATTTAATAAAATAACCATGTAACATGTATTATATCTAATTAATATAATCAATACATTGTTTGCTTCAAATATGTTTAACATATTACAATTTATTTATATTACATACAGTTTGCGTTAAAATTTTCTAAATATAACTTGTATAAAAATTCTTTAAATAAGTATGGTTAAAATAAGTTACAAGTTTCTGTGACTGGATAAGAATAGTATTATTTATTTATAAAACAGTTAAACATTTTTACGCAACATAATTTAATTACTTTAACATTGAAAATGATTGCATGCTTTAAGTGAATGATTGTATCAATAATAATAATAATTTGTCACAAATTGCTCTTTAATTCAGAAACATTAACTACATGTACAGTAAAAGTCAATAGTAATTACAATGTAACTTTGTACTTTTACTAAAACAAACTATGTCTATTTATCAGCGTTGTTAAGGGTTTGCGATAAACACCATTTTATACCATCAGATGATTAATTAAATCTGATATAAATTATATATATTTTGTATTTAAATGTTTATTTAATTAATTTGATTATTGATTGATTGACTAAATAGTCAATTGATATTCAATCATAACAAATGCAAAACACATCAAAACTGTGTAAAGTCTGCGGAGTTAGAGCTAAATGTGAGTATATTTATAGTTAAATGAACATGATCAACAAAACTATTTACCCTTATTTAAATCAATTAGGTATTAATTTCTGTGCCCTTACGTGTCAGTCATGTAAAGCCTTCTTTCGACGAAATGCTTTCAAACTAACAGTTAGTTTAAAATTTTAATTATTTATATTTGTTAACAAAATTAATATAATGTAAAAACTTTTGTCCAGATCTACAGGTGTAGGTTTGATGACAATTGCCATATCAATGAAACCACACGTAAATTATGCAAAAAATGTCGACTCAAAAAGTGTTTCGCTGTCGGCATGAAAAAGGTATTCATTGATTGGGAATTAATATTAAATTTTAATATTAATTTTACCATAATTTTAAAGGAATGGATACTCAATGAGGAGGAGAAACAGATCCGGTTGTCTCAAATCGAAGAGAATAAAAAACTAAAGCAAAATAACCACAAAAAGTCACCAAATAATACTACATTCACCACCGGATCCATTGGTGACAATACAATCGACAATGAGATTAATGAATATATTATGAAAATTGATGATAATTTGATAGCAAGTGATGAATGCGATGAAATTATACACGAAATATTTGATAATGAACTAGATGAAAGTGAAAATAGTAATCTAACCTCGGATCAAATGTCTGTTGTATCGCGAGAATCAAATACCCCGAGTAATTGCTCCACAATTACCATCGATGATACATTACCTCATATTAAAACATATGATAAATTGAAGAATAACTGTATGGCTATAGAAATACTTAACTGCAATTCAATGGACAAACTCAACAACTTATGCAGTTTTAATCCGTTTGAATGCAAACTAATCGCTGAGTTGTTTAACCAGAGATTGTTAGCAATACATCCGGTCAGCGATAGGAGGGCCGGGAGGTTCACAACAGTGGATGAGCTAATGGTATACATTGCCACTAATTTTGAGAGTTATCTGCAAAGTTTTGTGGACAAATCCAAAGGATTGCGTGCATTCACCACACAGTGTCTTAATGATCAAATAGCCATGGTCAAATATTGCTGCATTGAATCGCAGCTATTAAAGTCAGTAGTGTTTTATAGCCCACACCTTGAGGGCTGGGCGTTTCAAAAGGTACTATTCCAGTATAAATTGTTGTGTAAGGTCATTTAATAAAATTATTGAAAATCGCAGTTTTATTTCTAAAACTAGTTAGTTTAACTTTACTTAAAACTTAGTTTTATATTACAGTTAAAACATAAAATCAGGAATTTTTATCAGGAATAGAGTCAGGATTTTATTCAAGTATTTTAATATTATCATGGTAAAAATGCTTGTCAAAATTTTGATTGTAATTTATAATATTCAAATATAGGATAATAACACTTCAGTAGTACTCAGTTTGGATTTATTAAAGGGTTTTAACACAATGGATTTTTACCATAATCTAAGAAATTATCTATCGACGTTTGACGTGGAATTTCAG